CAACTCTTCACAATTTAACAAGATATACGTATGTGCACTGTGATAATCTTTTTCATTGGACCACCAAACATCTTTTAGTTTTCCATTAAGACGTCCGATCGGCGAGAATATGTCAGGTACACCTTCAACGGCATAAGTATGGCCAACTCCTCCATCATCATATCGACGAGTAGCTCTTTTGCGTGTTCGTACTTTCGGTGCAAAATAGTATGAAATGAAGTGTGAAGTCTCTTGCGTTAAGCTTCCCGCCACAATTGAGCCTTCCACTTTAGCTAGGTTTTTGGCTTTACCTTTAAGATGCTTCATGAAACGCTCGAACGGATACATCCACCTGTACTGAACGGGTCCACCGAGCTCTGCTTCGTATGGGAGATGAACAGGAAGATGTTCCATAACATCAAAAAATGATGGTGGGAAGATCTTTTCCAAATTGCACGACAAGATTGGAATATTCAATGCCAGTTGTGATATTACATCAACTGATAATGTTCGTGTACTAAGATCCCGAAAAAAGCACCAATGCCTCCAATAGCTTCATGGACGTTTTTGGGCAAGAGTTCAGCAAATGCAAATGGAAATAATCGTTGCATAAAGACATGGCAGTCATGGCTTTTCATCCCAGCAAACTTTACCCCCTTCTCAACAGATTTGGAAAGATTAGAGACATACCCATCAGGAAATTTAACGTCAGAAGAAACCCATCTGAACAATGCTGACTTTTGATCTGCACTCAACCAAAATACAGGAACTGGTGCTTTCCCGTTTCTCAGTAGATGCAACTCACTTCTGTTGCATAAATCAGGCAAGTCCAATCTTGATTTACCATTGTCTTTTGTTCTTCCCGCTACGTTCATAACTGTATGCATGATGTTATCAAAAAAGTTTTTTTCAATGTGCATGACATCAAGATTGTGTCTGAGCAGATGATCTTTCCAATAAGGTAGTTGCCAGAAGATACTTTTCTTGTGCCAATTATGATGAACTCCATAACCTTCAGGCATATTTGCAGGAGTGTGCCAGTTTCCCCCACGAGTTACTGTTTCTTCTGCCCTCCAATGATCTATTTGCGCCTGTATATCAGCTCCTGTTAAATTAACGGGTGGAGGGACACGTACACTTTTGTTCTTCAAAAATAACCTCTTGTTCCTCCGATATGGATGGTTATCCGGTAAAAACCTCCAGTGACAATCAAACCAACAAGTTTTTCTACCATGTTTTAGCTGAAACGCATCAGTTCGATGAAGACAATAAGGACAAGATAGCCTCCCATGTGTAGTCCATCCTGATAGCATACCGTAAGCGGGGAAATCGCTTATTGTCCACATAAGCACAGCCCGCATAGTAAAATTTTTCCTCGTAGAACAGTCATATGTACGAACGCCAGTATACCATAACTGATTCAACTCATGTATGAGTGGCTGAAGAAATACATTGAGAGCTCGCTTCGGATGATTTGGACCTGGAACCAAAATACTTAGGAAAAGAAATTCCCTTTGCATGCACAAATCTGGAGGAAAGTTATAAGGAGTTAGGATTACTGGCCATAATGAATATTGTCTACCAGACATACCAAATGGACTAAAACCATCAGTGCACAGACCAAGATAGACATTCCGTTTGAACTTAGCAAAATCTGGGTATACCATATTGAAGTGTTTCCATGCCTTTACATCTGATGGATGAACAACTTCTCCATTTACTTGTGTATGTTCCGCATGCCATCTCATTGATGCAGTTGTCCTTTCAAATTGATAAAGCCGTTTTAACCTATCAGTTATAGGGAGATACCACATACGTTGGTACGGTATCCTTTTACGCCCACCAGTTTGAGGCCTGTATCTTGGTTTATGGCAAAATCGACATTCCTCCAGCTGATCATCGTCTTTCCAAAAAATCATACAATTGTCAACACATACATCTATCATCTCACAAGGTAGACCAAGACTAAAAATCAACTTCTGAATTTCGTAGTATGTTCCCGCTGCCAAGTTATCCTCTGGTAGATACTCCTTCAGAAGATCAGCCCAATCATCCATGCAAACCTCAGCCAGGTTATGATCTGTTTTAATTGACATCATCCTAGCTGCCAACGATAATTTAGACAAGCCTTCTCTACATCCTTCGTAGATTGGCTGATTAGCATTGTCTAACAAATCATAAAATCGTTTGGCATCTACATTAGGTTCCTCAACAGCATTACCCGTATGCGTTTCATGAAATGCATCAGTCACCATTTCGTGCATCCTATCATGATCTACACTTTGGTCATATTGATACTGATTAGGCTGATGACCATAATTCGATTCATCAATATCAACATGACTTTGATAATTACTACTACTACCAGCATTCCCATGAGTATTACTGCCATATCCTTCTCCATGTAGATACCAAACAAAATATTACGGCATAAACCCTCTATTTAATAAATGCGTCCACACGGTTTTGGTTAGTGTATACCTCGTATTCTTGAATTTCAAACAAGGACAAAACATCTTCCCACTATCTTTCGTTCTCTCCATATTTGTAGCCTGATACATAAATATTTATAACCCGTTCTTGAACTTTTCTGTCAACGCCCCATCTGAATCTTTACGCATATACATCCAACTTCTTAGCTCGTATATAGACATCTTGAAAATAAACTCAAAATACTATCTCTTTTTATTGATTAGACAATAAAGGAGGTGGTCTCTTGTGTCACGTCTAGCCACGTGAATGAAGTAAATTAACCTTATAATATTATTACTTCTTTGATTCAAAGTAATATAACTCTTAATTCGGGTTTTCAGCAATGGACAACCCAATATATAAGGATTTACAACACTATACTAAAATTTAATAGACCTACAATGGGTCTCCAAGATGAAGATGCTCTTATGTTTGAATGATGATGTGTTGTGATTGAATAAAGGAATGAAGATCTATTTATAGGAAAATTTCGGGCTTTACAACGCTTTTACGACGACTTTTTACGACGGTTTTACATTCAACAATAATATTACGACGAGTTTACGACGATTTTGCGATAAAATTTTTCATCTACAATTGTTAGGTAAACATGTTTAAATGTTTTTCACCTAACTCCTTTTTCGACGTACAATCGTCGTAATATGTACATCGAAATGTAGTCGTCGTATATTCGTCGTAATTTTGCGAAGAATTTACGACGATTTTACATTTACTAGCAAATCTCTCGTTATAGATGTATAATCGTCGTAATTCGTCATAAATTGTACGTCGAGTTTACGATGATTTTTATATACGACGGTTTTACGACGGTTTTTAAATTAGACGTAAGATCGTCGTAAAATCGTTGTAAATTTGCGACGATTTAAAAACCGTCGTAATGGACCGTTGGAAAACGATTGTTTTCTTGTAGTGTTTCCTCACCTATAGAATTAGACAACTAGAGGGTTCTGAGATATTCAAAATCTAAGTAGGAAGACGTGTTAACATATATTGTATTGTCAAAGAAATAATACCTGTTAATTGTGAAAGCATACACTCATTAATTCTCTCGACATCCAGATTTGTTGGGGCCAAAATAGCTTGTTCCTTAAAAAACGTGGGGTCATCTCAATTAGCAAAGGATTATCCATATATTTTCCTTACTATAGTTTTTACTGGATCATCACAATCCTTAATTAATAAGTCTTATGGAATCTCTATCTCAGTTTCTCCATCATTAGGCTCATTAATTTTCCCTTCTCCGATTTCCAGAATCCATTTTGAAAAAGAGCTTATATCATTTGGATCACTCTCACTTAGACCGGTGTGTAGTCACATTTTTTTGTTCAGCCGTTGAACCTTATACTTTTTTCCAAAGCTTAGATGCATTCAATGCAGCCATTACTGTTATATTTCTACAGGCATCTGGTATTACCGGTAGTACCTGCCAAAAATCTTCCCAAAAAACAATGACTTTGCGTCCAATAGGTTCTTCAGATTTCATTATGTCTTGCATGCTTCTGTCGAGTGTCTCGAAACAGAGTTTATTCATCATTGGAGCTTCATCCCAATCTATTAGCTTTGTTTCCTTGATTAAGTCTGCTAAATGTGTACTAGATTTCATCGAGCATGTTGTGCTGTTATTGATATTTATTGGAATTTCAAACCTAGAATGGGCTGTCCTACCCCCTTGTAATAGCAATGAAGCAATTCCGCTTTATGCTACATTTATGACAACTTCACCTTTAATCTCAAAGCAGTACCTAGAATACTCCAAAGAAATGTATTGTCTGTGCCTCCAAAGCCATAGACAAAGAAAACGCCACCCCTATTGCTTTGAACAACATTTAGAATTTCATTATAAATACCCAACAGCTCTTCTGGGATCATTGTTATGTATTTAATATGATCTTTGAATATTTTCGTCGCTGAGCAGTTGATTGTTGAATTTATAAATTTTGATATCGTCTGCCTTTGGCATATTGTCAAAATTGGCAAGAGTAGTTCCATGAAAACTCATTAATTTTTTGATCTTAGAAAGAGTGAAATTATTTATCTGTTCTTCTGTTAGCACCAAATCTACAAAAAATGTATAATTGATTGTATCAGTTCGAAATACAGAAGTTAGAGTCATTAATAAAATAATATATTATGAGAGAAAGAAAGAGAAGAGGAAGAAAATTCAGAGGAAGAAAGAGAAGAGGAAGAAAATTCAGAGGAAGATAGAGAAGAGAAAGAAAATTCAGAAGAAGAAAGAGAAGAGGAAGAAGCGCATGACGAAGAGAATGTAGAGGAGTCAGAACAAGATGAATCAAAGAGAGATTTAGAGGTAAGTATATTTTGAATTGAATTCTTGTTATGTGTTTTGTTGGACAACTGGGACAACATGTACAACTTAGCTTTACATAATTAGGTAATATCCGGACAACTAGGACAACTGTATAGAATAGTTACATCTGGATAACTGGGACAACTTGGTTTTAGGTAATTAGGTGCATATGGACAACTGGGACAACTGAGACAACTTGGTTTTACGTAATTAGGTGCATATGGACAACTTGGACAACTGGAACAACTTTGTTTTCGTAATTAGGTAATATCCGGACAACCGGAACAACTGGTATAGAATAGTTACATCTGGACAACTAGGACAACTGAGATAACTTGGTTTACGTAATTAGGTGCACATGGACAATTGCGACAACTAAGTCTGATAGGATTGTGTTTCTTGTTTATTTTTCAGGATGCCGATGATGATGGGCAACCGATGCTGCCTGAGAAGCTTTACTTCGGTCCAACCGAGTACAGCAAGGGTTGTAGGATATTGACAAGGTGCTCGGTTAGAAGTGTTGTGGACAAGATTGATAAACTTGCTGAGGAGAAAGCATGGTTCAGAGCGCATCCTCAATTTAAGCACATTTTTCACATGTTCAAGGAGCCCAACCACATGAATCAAGGATTGTGGATGCTTCTCCTTCACACTGCTCATACTGAAAGGTTTAGTGAGTGTTGGTTTGTTGTTAACGGAGTCCCAATTAGGTATTCTCTGGGAGAGCATGCGCTTTTGAGTGGACTTGACTGTCGTGATTACCCGACTAACTATAAGGATTTGGGGAACACGAAGTTTGTTGAGAAGCACTTTGGTAGGGTGGATAAAATCAAGATTTTGGAAGTAGAAGCTAAATTAGATTAAATGAAGGAGAGCTCTGTGGACAGGAAGAAAATGGCACTCATCTTGTTTTTATGCAAGGTAGTGAAGGCGAAATACAAGAGTGATGGTAACATTGATCCTTTCCTTCTCCGAGTTGTCAGCGATTTGAATGTGTGTAAAACGTTCCCTTGGGGGCGTTACACATTTGATGACATGATGAAGGAGATCCGGTGTGTGATGGCAAAGTTTGATGGTAGCATGAAAGACAAAAAAGCAGAATGTCCCCTTTCTACCTCTACAGGTAATTCTCAGTCACCATTTCTTATAAATTAACTTCATATATAATTCAACGATGATCTTTTGTGATTTTTTTGTGTAGATACTTGCTTTTGAGTGTATTCATAGCCTTGGCCGCAAATTCCAAGAAGCTGTACCTGCCCTCCAAGACTGTCCAAGGATGTGCAAGCACAAGTTCACTGATGTTTGCATGAAAGGCATTCCGTTGGATGATATAAATGCAGCAATCAGAACAAGTGCAAAGGTTAGTGTTTTCTGGGTTTGGTTAGGGTACAACTATGATTGACTTGCTGTTAGTGGTTTAAGAACAACTGGTACAACTGAGCAAAAATTAAGAATTATGGATCGTGGGACAATTAGGACAACTAGTACAACTATGTTTTACTGGTATTGGTTAAAGGGCAACTAGGACAACTTGTACAACTATGTTTTACTGGTATTGGTTAAAGGGAAACTAGGACAACTAGTACAACTATATGTCATGTCGTTACTATTGGTTCAATAATTTGTGTTTGTTTATATTGGCAGGACATTCATAGCATCTTGAAGCCTGCAGACTCGGGTGAAGAAAAACTTTTGCGTCGGATATTAGATCATGGCTATGATGATGGGATAGGGCTCATTGATGTGGGTGTTGAGAGTAGGATGCATCATCTCACAGTGAAGAAGAAGAAGATCTTCTGGAGATCTTTGTATGAGTTAGACATTCAACATCAGGGTAGATTCACTGCCGAGGCTCCTCAAATACCTGAACCTGAGGTGACATCAATGTTGGAGCTTAAGGCTGCGATGAGTCTGTTAGAGAAAAGGGTGGCGACGCTCGAACAGCTAGTGCTTCCACGCCCATCCTCTCCACCACCCGCCTCTTCACCAGTCTCCTCTCGTCTATCCGCAGTGGCCTCCCCTTCAAGCGCACCTGCACCGGTTTTGTCTCGGCGACCCGCAGTGGCCTCACCTCCAAGCGCACCTGCACCAGTTTCATCTCCTTGAACCGCAGGAGGAGGCACTCCTCCAACCGCACATCCACCAGAATCCTCCTTTTCATTGTTGGATCGTGTGGAGGTGTTGCATCGTGATGTATGGCGCCAAGAAATAGTGAGGGTGGTTTTATCCAACAACCGGTACAAGATCAAGATTGTTGACACGTTGGCGGAATTAGAGTTCATGTACTGGGATGTTGGGCATCATCCGCACCACAACCATCCACATCATCATCAAAAGGCGCACCACCACCGGAAACATCCTCATCCAAAGGCGGTAGAGCTGGAACTAAGAGGCCCCGGAAGAAATCAAAGTTCAAGCAGTCGCCTTGGGTCTCTGGGGGAAACACCAAGAAAGCGAAGATGTAGATTGTGTGGTTTATTTCTTTTGTTTCTATGTTTCTTTTGTTTAGGAAAACAAGTACAACTATGTTTATTTTGTTTAGGACAAGTGGTACAACTTTGTTTATTTTGTTTAGGACAACTGGTACAACTTAATGTCTTTTGTTTAGGACAAATGGTACAACTATGTTTCTTTTGTTTAGGACAACAAGGTCAACTACTACAAATATATTTATTTTGGTTAGGACAATTTGGATAACTATGTTTCTTTTGTTTAGGACAACAAGGACAACTTAATCTGAATAAGAAACATAACATGAGATTAATTCGAAATAGTTTTGGGATATTACAAAGGAGAACAGAAACATGATGAACAAAGGAAAACATGTGAATAAGATACAACAATCCAACATAGCTCACATAAGAACTCTCAACCACATAAAATCTTCTTTAACCTTTAGTCTTTTCCATAGCTGCCTCAAGGGATGCCACCTTGGACTCCAACTGGTTGAGCTTCGAGTGAACGGTGTCAAACAAAGACCGCATGGCTTCTTGGGTGTCGTTTAACATTTCAATCTCTTCAAGAATGGCAACATCCCACCACTTCTTGAAGCCACAACTGGGAACCTGAGAACCAGAAAATCGGATGAAACTCTATTTAGAAAACAAAGAATTGCTAAATTGACAAGTACTTCAGGGAAGATTTTTGGGCCACAACAGCCGTAGAAACACCCATAATACTTGCAGCCCCTATCGAGCACAGAGTTGTCGCTTAGACACCCAATTGGAGCTATACCGCAGTAGCAAACTTTTGGAATTCCCTTTTGAACAGGGCATGGCGCCCTGGTCCTGACTCCATTCACTTCTGGTCCCCATCTAGTAGTCATCCCGTAATCCTTCTTGGGTAAGGCAGAATAAGATCCCTCTCCTTTGCCTTCAGACATTTTTGGCGAAGTTTTTTTGTGGGGAAATTTTCGGCCGCGGCGGAAACGCTAATTGGGAAAAAAAATTCCAAGTGAGGGAATGAATGGAAAGAGAAAAACACGACAACAACCCTTTTCAATGAAAGAGAAAACACTAGGACACTAGACTTCTCCCCTCTTATAGCCTGTTTAAAAAGAAAAGAAAAAAATAAATATTTTTATTCTCAGCTGCCATTTTAGTTGTACGGTTGTCCCAAAAATGTAATAATTGTCCTTTTGTCGATTTACTCGTATTTTCAGGACTCCTCCTACTGATATTCATTTTTTCTAGTTGTCCACAGGAATTTCGAACATTCTATAGCAGCTCCAAAGGCCTAGTGTAATTAATTTTCTATTTTCTCTATTTTTGTGTTTAGTCTGTTGTAAGATGGATAACATTGTCAAAGAGTTCTTTATACCATAAGGGTTATTTCATGTGAAACCCAAAAAAAATTTAGTACTTTGAAGAAAACTATGTTCTATAGAGTTTTCCTATTGTAGACGTTCAAGATACAGCAATTAAGAGTATGTGTTGTATTTGTTTTCGGGTCTTCAGTTGTACAAAATTAGGGTTCCCTACTTTCCCCTAGTTGCACCTCGTTGCCCCTTGTTGCCCCAGTTGCACCATGTTGCCCCTAGTTGCACCTCATTGCCCATGTTGCTTCAGTTTCCCTACTTGCACCTTGTTGGCCATAACTGTACATAGTTGCACCTAGTTGCCCCTAGTTGCACCTCGTTGGCCATAACTGTACATAGTTGCACCTATTTGCCCCTAGTTGCACCTAGTTGGCCATAACTGGCCATAAGTGTACGTAGTTGTACCTAGTTGCACCTAATTGCCCTAAAATTCATTACATAAATTTAAAAAAGTTCAACATAGTTGTTGCACCTAGTTGTCCTGGATACATTCTAGAAATCCAATAAATCCTAAATACAAATAACCCCAAAATACATAGTAATGCAAGAAATCCAAGACATAAAAAATACAAATAACTCCCAAATACTCGAAAACCTAGCTGGTTCCCTCTTCTTCCATTGGGTTTACTGGTTCAAACCAACGTCCAAGATTAATATTTGGGTTGGCCTTGTTACTCCTCCGAGGTTCTCCGATGGAAGAAAACCGCTTCTCCTTCTTTCTTCCTGATTTTTTGGTGTAGTCTGGTGGGTAAACAACTAAATTTCCAACCTCCTCAGGAATAATCCAAGTTGAATGATGCGGCACCATATAAATGGTTCGGCAATAAGCCAACGCCCAAGTATCAATCAAGTAGTACCTCGAGCATAAATCGAAAATGTGTACGTCTCTTCTTCTAGAGGACATCCACATCATTGCAATGGTTGCGGCTATTGCATGCACACATGGAATCTTATCTATATCAAACATACGACACTCACAGCTTTTTGTTACCAAATTGACCAGATAGCTCTTCCCATCAAGTCCAACCACACTGTACTCAAGCTCAGGAACATTTAGCTCACTCACAGTTTACGCTGTCGCTATTTCACATTGGGTATGCAACTGATTTTCCACATACTGCACCAATTTCTTCGAATATGATGCACCAGCAATGTCTTCCCTATGCCTGTTGAACCATTCAGACACTTTTTCAATATACGCATCAATCTTAGGTAATAATGCATACTTTCTAGCTTTCTTGAAGACACTGTTCATAGATTCACAGACGTTGCTTGTGTCCAAGTTATACTTGTCTCCTTTAAAGTAGCACCTTGCCTATTTCTCGAGAGGAAGACCATTCTCTAAGTACTCTGCAGCTTTGGGAAACATTCTACCAAATTCGGTATATGCACTTAGAAACTCACTTTCGTTGTACTTGTGAGCGCAGTCAATGAATTTTTTAGAACACAAATCTTTCCAACCATTGGCTGCTTTAACCCTCACATTACGAGACAAGTGCCAAACACAAAATCCATGCTGAGACTGAGGGTACACCTCCTGCACTGCCTTCGCTATGCTTGTGTGTCTGTCACTCATAAAAACAATTTCAGGATTATCTGGTATAACAGTTATGAGCATTTTTAAAAACCACCTCCAACTAGCATCTTTCTCACCCCATTGCAATGGGATAATGGTGATGATTAGGATCCTGAGATGTGGCAAATACGAGCATACCACCATAAACATTCTTAAGAAATTTTGCATCCACAACTATGACTTTCCTCATTGATCTAAAGCCTTCAATGCTGGCACCCAAAGCCACAAAAAGATACTTGAACTTATTATTAGCATCCACTTTCACGCTCGTCACTATACCGGGATTCACCAGCTTCAACATGTACAGATAAGAATGCAATCTTTGAAAGCTCTTAGCCGGACTACCCCTCACTTGACTAATAGCGAGTTTTTTCCCTCTCAAGGCAGTAGAGTAGGACACATTCACATGAGCTTCAGTTTGAACGACCTTCACTATACTTCTAGGAGCGGGTTTGACCACTACACCTGGATACGAAGCACGCAAAACATCTGCTACTACTTGTGGAATGCCTTTTCTTTTATTCTCAAGTGTGCTGGTAAGGACCCGAGAGCAACAATGCATATTCCTGTATACTCTAAGGCTGAAATAAGTTGAACCCTTCATTCTTACAGCATGTAAATACCATGAACAACCATGTTCAGCTTGATGGCATTTTAGAATGAGTCGCCCAGGATCAGACTTCACAGTTTTTACCTCAAAACATCCCTTATGCGAAGCTCTGTCAACCAATACTCGCAACGCCTCTTTCGACCTCAATTCTTGATTTTTCTAAAAACCAGCACCATCATCCCATTCAAGAACAAACTGCTGAGTTGGTTCTTGATAACACCGTATTTTGACCACTTTTATGGATCGTTTTGAAATACTTTTTTCTATGTTTTTAATTGCTTTCAAGTACTTTTATTACGTTTTTCTAGTATTTTAGTTCCAAGACTCTTTTCAGGAAACTTAGGGAAAAACTTAACAAAATGGATAGAAGACCAGATTTTCAGCTCAGAGTCAAACCGTCAGAAGTTCACCCCCGATTGAAGGCCTTCTCACCGTCTGATCCAGCTCAAATTTGGAGATCTCAAAGATGGAAGTATCAGCTTTCCAGCACACTTTAGATCTTGCAAATCCAACGGTTCAATCAAAAGATACACAAAGAGCAAGATGTCCCGTAAATCAGCCGGCAAGCGTTTCCACCCGCGGCCAACAGGCCATTCCCCGCGGTCACAAGCATCCTGACCGCGGCCAGCCATCCATTCCCCGCGGTCACACACATCCCGACCGCGGCCAGCTAACTCCGAGTTTGAAGGCCCATTTCTGAAGCCCGTATCATTTTCCCAGCCTCAATTCCGTGGAACCCTAGACACCAGAGAGTATTGGAGACTATAAATACATATCATTTAGGTCGTTTTTAAGGAGAGAAAAAGAGAGACGAAATACTTTACAGAAATTTTACTTTAAGCTTTGTTTTTAGGTTTTAGGGAGAGAGAGATCTATCTCTTGAACCCTTGTTTTTTCTTTTTCCATTTCGGTTTCTGTACTACTTTTTAATACTATGTTTTTGATTTCGTTTATCATGTCTGAGTAGTTTTATTGTTGGGTCTAAGGGATTTTCGATGGAGATACATATGTTCGATGAGGAATCCATGAGCTATTGAGCTGAATCTTAGAATTTTTTCTTCTGAATTCGTTTTTACTGCATGAGAGTAGCGTCATGAACTACAATCTGATCCAGATGCTTGGTGACACGAAAGTGTTCATCCGGTGTCAGATCTAGTTTGGGAGAGCAAAACAAACATTGGAGTGGAAACCTACCTATGGGCGATTTGTGAATGCTGACGAGTCTTAAACATAATGCATCTCTTCTTTTCTAGTGCCAGAGTGGAAACCTACAGGTCATGGTTGAGAGAGATAGTTGTCTATGATCACGACAGTGGCGTATTCATACGTCTGTGACTCCAGTTCAAAAAGTTTAAGCTAAGATCTTATCAAATCTACTCTCTAGCAATGTTTTGAATCGTTCATACCCCTGAGAAAACTTTCCTGAACCCCAGCGCTTTCTTTTCTATAGATTTACACCGATTTTTATTCAAGCTTTAGTCTAGTATCTTTACTATTTCAATCAATTTTCATTTAAGCAATTAGGTTTAGCCGTTTTTCTTGTTTTTACCCATTTTCGTTAAGTTTAGTTATTAGGTCATTTTAATACCCGTATTTTCTTTTTAAGATTCGTTTTTACGTTTTAAACTCACCACCAAAACCCTCACAAAACTCGCCTGGTTCTAGACTTCCTTATTTTAGATTTCTTTCGAAGGCTTTTGCAGGAAAGATCTTCCTTCCCTGTGAATTCGATCCCTAAGTACTACAATCGATCAGCTGTGCACTTGCGGCTATTGATTTCATTTAGGGTAAAACTTGACACCCTCATCGCGACACACATCAGTTCTACTGCCCCTGCAGGCTTTACGTGATCATCCTCATCTATACCATACTCTGCAGGCCCTACGTGATCATCCTCATCCATACCATACTCTGCAGGCTCTACATGTGCATCATCATCCGGTTTTGAAACAACATCATCGATCACCATCTGTTTCTCAGTCTCAGCCACGGCCACAATAGCAAGTTTGTTCTGTTCTTTCCTGCTTCTACCGGTATGTAAGTAGTCATCCTTTCCTCAATATCAAGCATATTATCCCCGGTTGCTAGCTCCTCACTCTGATCTTCCATTATCTCCACATTCAACACAGATCTAAGTCCCTCTTTGTCCAGAGTTGTTAGATAGACATACACATCACCATCATCAACAATACATGACTCATTGCGTGGCCTAGCTACCAACGGAATGTAGCTTAACTTGAGCTTCTTCGTACTATCGTTTATCCCAATCTTCTTGCATATACCATCTACAACCATCGAATAGGTTACCTCGTCCAAAGAGGTTTTAAATGATATAGCATAGATGGAACTCCTTGAAATCCATTTAAACTCCTCTCCTTCCTTAAAATAACATCCTCCATACTCAAAATGTATGTTTGTGTGGCCGCTCATCCTCTTCTGTTCATAAATACAAAAAAAATTAGGCATTTACGAATTACAGAAAATTAATATTTACTCACAGTTATACCAATTGTACCAGTTGTCCCACATATCTCTTTCAGTTATCCCAATTGTACCAGTTGTCCAATTTCATTCAGTTACCCCAATTGTACCAGTTGTCCCACATATCTCATTCAGTTAAACCAATTGTACCAGTTGTCCCATTTCATTCAGCTATCCCAATTGTACAAGTTGTCCCATTTCATTCAGTTATCCCAATTGTACCAGTTGTCATATTTCATTCAGTTATCCTTATTGTACCAGTTGTCTCACTTCATTCAGTTATCCCAATTGTACCAATTGTCCCATTTCCCACAGATTCACTATACAAACCAATGTTCAAAATATCGCTAGGCGTTAGTCAGGCGGTCGGGGTGCGCCTAGAAGAATAATCGGAAATTAATCGGGGATTAATCGGTGATTAGTTTTAGGGTATTTATTTAAATATATTGCTTATATATTATTTATTGTCATGAAAACTATATGATTAACCTGGCGCAGTGGCAGTATTGAGTGTTGCTCTCTTAGAGGTCGTGGGTTCAAAGCTCAGTTAGCTATTTGTGTTTTTTTATAAGGTTTTAGTTTAATGAAGGGTATAATAGTCAATTTCTTATCATCTTCTTCTTCAGAGTTCTGCGATCTGTAACCCTAAACGGCGGCTTCCATGATTTCATCATTCTCTTTTCGTTTTTTTTTCTAATGTTTGTACCACTAAACTAAAAAATCTAGCAAAGAATATAAGATTTTTAAAGGAAAACGAACAAAATTGAGTTTTTTTTTCATTTTCTGAGTTTTTTACCGATTAGGTTATAATCGCCACGGTCAGTGTCCGACTACCGCCTAGGCGTCCAATTAATCGGAGAAATCGGCGATTTTTCGAACATGGATACAAACCTACGATTCAGCACGATTCTACCGCAACACGTGAATTTTAACACAGAGAAAACTAAATCGACCTATATAAGTAACTAAACTATCCAATGTGCAACCTAAACAAACCGAAATTGACAAATCGATTGAAAATTTGAAAAATCCCCAAATTGCAGAAGATGTTTACCTAACTGCGAAATGGCGGAGGAGAAACAAGATAGGGAGAATAACACGAGTTCAGAGGAGGCCGGCACACCGCTTCGAACGAGAATACACAATAGTTTACAAGATTCGAGCAGATCGATCGATCTCTGGGTTTAGGGTGTTTGTTTGAGCGTTTAGGGTTTAGAGAGGCGGGATGATTTTGAGTTCGATGATTTTCAGTTCGAGCTACCCAGAAATTGTGATAATACCCGAAATTGGTTCTTGGTTTGGTTTTTTGATTTCAGTTTTTAAATTTCATTTAACTCGATTTTTTTTTAAAAAACCAAAAAAAAAGCACAAATCAACAATGCCATCATCCCCTTTCATTAAGGGTAAAATGGGCATATCACACCCTTTATGGCACCCAGACTCATTTGTGGCACATCAGACTTTATTTTTCTAAATTATGGCTTCTCAGCCATTTATTTTGTCGACGCTAAGAGGAAGAGAGCACGCGGCTGAAATGCCACATTTGGCGAAGAAACTGGCTGAAAAATTATAATTCTAATAATTAATTTCCTTTTGATTTTTTTTTAATAAGATAAACTCTAAAACAATTTACATTCTTCTTATATATCTCTATAGTAATAAAAAACTAAAGGTAATATTTACCTAATTTTAGCTCACTCGATAATTTAAAATTAATTTAATTTATTTTTATTTAAAATATAACTTAATGATTATAAAATTGAAAATCGATTTACCAACAAAATCAAAAATTAAAAATCAAAAATCTTAAACTGAATCGAATGGAATCGATTTACTTCTCCTCCTCCGAAAAAGCTCAAGGGAAACGGCTATCTCCCTCTTCTCCGAAAATTCTGCAACTTCACACAAACCCCAAAACTTAATTGATTTCTCCAAAATCGTAAATTCTCTCTTCCTCTCATTTAAAAAAACTATAACTTCTTATTCCCTTCTTCTCTATACTCGTCAGTGCTATGGTTAAAACTCGATTAAACAGTGTGGTATATGATTCAAATGAGACCAAAGCACTCAATCGCAGCAAAGAAGCAGCAATGGAAGATGAAGACCCCGAAACAACTCGGAAGGAAGAACAAGCGGCGATTGATGAACAATCCCCTGAAGTAAGTCGGAGAGAAGAAGAAGGATTGTTGGAAGAAGAAGCAGCGATTCCCGAAACCACTAATCAAGCCCATGAAACCGCACCAACACCCATGGAAGAAGAACCACCAGTTCTGGAAACCACCAATCAAGCTGCACCAACACCCATGGAAGACGCTGCAACGGATCAACCCCAGAAACCCATGGAAGACGGTGCGAAGGATCAACCCAAGAAACCCGAGCAAGAAGTATGGAAAGAGGGACCGGCTGAGGAATCCCACAAAGAAGCAGAGAAGAGGTATCCCAGAAAGATACAGCAGAAGAGGAATCCCAGAAAGATGCAGAGGTAGAGGTATCCCATAAAGATACAGCAAAAGAGGAATCCGAGAAAGATGCAAAAGAAGAGGAACGGCGCACACCCGAGAAAGTTGCAGAGGAAGAAGGAGAGGAAGAAAGAGAAGAGGAAGGAAGATAAGAGGAAGAAGCGCATGACGAAGAGAGTGTGGAGGAAGAATCAGAAGAAGAAGAATCAGAGGAAGATTTAGAGGTATGTATATTTTGAGAAACTGGAACAGCTGGTGTAATTTTTTAAAAAATTTTTTGGTATATGGATAACACGGACAACTGGTATAACAAATGATCTATATCTTCTATTTCTGGAAATTAAAATCCTTTCTTTGGCCTAATTTTAGATTAGAAGATTTAGCTTGTATGAATCGCTATTGGTTTAATAGTACTAACGGAAATCATTTTAGTATGATATGAATACATATGTATACACGATTTCAAATTCATTAATGATAGATCCTTTTTTAGATGAAATCTTGTTATGTCTAATGTTGGACAACTGGGACAACATGTACCACTTAATTTACGTAATTAGGTTACATCCGGACAATTGGGACAACTGATACAACTTTGTTTTACGTAATTAGGTAACATCTGGACAACTGGGACAACTAAGTATAATAGGATTGTGTTTCCTGTTTGTATTTCAGGATACCGATGATGATAGCCAACCAATGCCGCCTGAGAAGTTTTACTTCGGTCCAACCAAGTACAACAAGGGTTGTAGGATATTGATAAGGTGTTGTGGATAGGATTGAAAAGCTTCCGGAGGAGAAAGCATGGTTCAGAGCACATCCTCAATTTAGCACATTTTTCATATGTTCAAGGAGCCCGACCACATGAATCAAGGATTGTGGATGCTTCTCCTTCACACTGCTTCTACTGAAAGGCTTAGTGAGTGCTGGTTTTTCGTAAACGGAGTCCCAATTAGGTATTCTCTGGGAGAGCATGCGCTTTTGAGTTGACTTGACTGCCATGATTACCCGACTGACTACAAGAATTTGGGGAACACGAACTTTGTCGAGAAGCACTTTGGTAGGATGGATAAAATTAAGATTGTAGAGGTGGAAGCTAAATTAGATGAAATGAAGGAAACCTCTGTGGACAAGAAGAAAATGGCACTCCTCTTGTTTTTATGCAAGGTATTGAAGGCGAAATACAAGAGTGATGGCAACATAGATCCATTCTTGCTCCCAATTGTCAGTGATTTGAATGTGTGTAAAACGTTTCCTTGGGGGCGCATGATGTCAAAGTTTAATGGCAGCGTCAAAGACAAAAAAGTAGAAGTCCTTTCTCTGGTTTCATTCTTCCTTTACAGGTAATTTTCAATCATTATTTTGAAGGAATTATTTTTTTTATATATAATTTAAGTATGATCTTTTCTAACTTTATGTGTAGATACTTGTTTTTGAGTGTATTCCTAGTCTTGGCCGCAAATTCCAAGAAGTTGTATCTGCTGAGAAAGACTGTCTGAGGATGTGCAAGCACAAGTTCAATGATGTTTGCATGAAAGGCATTCCATTGGATGATATAAATGCAGCAATTGGAACAAGTGCAAATTCACCAGATAGCTCTTTCCATCAAGTCCAACCACACTGTATTCAAGCTCAGGAACATTTAGCTCAGACACACTTCTGGCTGTTGCGATTGCACATTGGATATGCAACTCGTTTTCCACATACGGTACCAATTTCTTCGAATATGATGCACCAGAAATTTATTTCCTATACCTGTTGAACCATTCAGACACTTTTTCAAAATACGCATCAATCAAAGGCAATAATGCATAGTTTCTAGCCTTCTTGAAGACACTGTTCATAGATTCACAGATGTTGCGTGTGTCCAAGTTGTACTTGTCTCCTTTATAGTAACACCTTGCCCATTTTTTCGAGAGGAAAACCTTTCTCTAAATACTCTGCAGCTTTTGGAAACATTCTACCAAATTCGGTGTATGCACTCAGGAACTCACTTTTGGTGTACTTATGAGCGCACTCAATGAATTTTTTAGAACACAAAATTTTCCAACCATTGGCTGCGTTAACTCTCACATTACAAGACAAATGCCAAACACAATATCCATGCTGAGCCTGAGGGCACACCTCCTTCACTGCCTTCGTTATGCTTGTGTGTCTGTCACTCATAAAAACAATCTCAAGATTATCTGGTATAACAGTTTTGAGCATTTAAAAAAACCACCTCCAACTAGCATCTTTTTCCCTATCAATTACACACATTGCAATGGGATAATGGTGATGAGTAGGTACTGAGCTGTAGCAAATACTAGCATACCACCATAAACAATCACTACAAGAAAAACACTCTTTTACAGCAGCCAAAACCGTTGTAAAATCGTTGTAAAACTCCTGTTACGACGCACTTGCGAAAGTTTCAAAACCGTCGTAAATGCATCATCGTAAAAGACATTTCGTCGTAAAATCATCGTACAATCTATGACGGTCAAAAAACATCGTAAAATCGTCGTAAAAAAGCCGTCGTAAAAGCGTCGTAATATTTACGGCGAATTTACGACAATTTGCCAAGATTTGTTTTCCATCGTATTCGTCGTAAAATCGTCGTACATAACCGATGTATGAGCATCGTATAATATACGACGAACATTTTGTCGTAATTGGGTCGTGTTTTTTTTTTTGTTTTATTCGACGTAAAACCGTCGTAAATAACCAACGTATGAGCTTCATATAATATACGACGAACATATCATCGTAATTGGTTTGTACTTTTTTATATTATATTACGACGATTTTACGATGATAGATTAAATAAATAATAAATGTATTACGACGATTATACTATGTTTTGTTAAAATAAAATTAAAAAAATATTTAATCCAAATTAAAATTTATTTGAAATTAAAAATATAATAAAAACAAAATTAATGTTTAAATTTAATTAAAATTCAAAATAATAAAAACAAAATTAATATTTAAATTTAATTAAAATTCATAATAATAAAAATTACATTATTTACAAAAAACTATCAAAGACCTAAATCTACACTAATGTCGTCTATCCCCGCATCGACCAGCTCCCCGTCTTGGTCTGCAGGTTCCTTGCCGGCTCTTCGGTTGGAGTTTTCCGGCGCCTGATCCCCACCTCTAGAAGGATCAGCCTCGAGAGACCGGAACATCTCCTCATCCGTCTGGACCGGTTGTTGCCTCCTAGAGAATGAAGAAGATGCGCCAAGGACTCTAGCTGCCCGCAACCTGTCCAACTGTGCCTGGAGCAACGGGTTGTCGGCGTCCAAAATATCGAAGAGACCGTACAACTGGTTGATCTTCGTCTCGTATTATGTCTGCATCTGGTGGAGCTCCTGGCGAATAACCACTGGATCCTCTGCCCGAACATGACTAGTCACAGTAGCGATCGAGGTATCACGTATGGATCCCATTCCTAAAATCCTGCCATTCTTCCGAAGGGCAACCTCGAAAAATGTTGAAAACATAAGTAAAACACCTATAGTTGAAGATTAAGTAGGGAAAAAAATTAAAGCTTACCTCTTCGAAGATCTGGTCCATCTCCCGCACCATCAAGGTCGGTGTGGACTGGACCGAGCTACCTCCGGGAGACCTTGGAGGTGCCTGATGCGAGAGCTGCATCTTCCGCTCATCGATCCTCGCACAGGCTGCGTTGTACATCGTCTCCGCCTGAGGATCCATGAATTTGCTGTTCTTCTTCTTGTGGATCTCGGCGAAGACCTTCGTCATCGGAGGAAGCTCTCCCCCGTTTTCTTCGACCTACAAAATCAGTTCGAAATTATTAATAAGACAAATTACAGGTTAATTGAAAAAAAAACTTGTTATTAAAAACTTACCATCATAAGACGTTTCCCGGCGAAAGGAACCTGGCTGGAAGTGTGCGGTACGTTCTTTAGATTTCCCGCATCGTTTACAGCGTTCCTAAAAATGAAAAATTTATTAGTTTAATTTTGTAAGTAAAAATATAATATTATACTATAAATATATATTAATTTAATTTACAAATTAACAAACCTGGATTCGAAACACTTGGCAGCAATAGTCTGGTTGGGTGGAGTGAACCAATGGTGCACCAGACCCTCCCAGACGCTATCGGCCATTGGAGCCGGCTTTGCCTTGTTTCCATCGATCTCCCACTTCCGCTTCCAGTTGGAAGCGGTATTGTTGACTTTCTCTCTGAAGGCCGTCTTCACACGTTCGTGTACAGAAATTCTCCAATGTCAGTTTTGCTACCAAAAAAGAGTTAGTAATTATTTTAAAAGATAAAAAATAATAATATAATTTGTAATTTTAAAAAACTTACCGCGAAACACTTGAACCAAGTGTCAAAAGTTGGCTGATCCAGCTTCTTAAAGCTGGTATGGGGTTGTACGAAGAACCCCTTGATGATGTCGGCAACTCTCCGACCGATTTGGTTGTCGGTCGTAAACCTAGTCGTAAAAAAATATTTGTTAAATATTTAAATTAATTATATATATATATATATATATATATATATATATATTAATAAAAATTTGTAAAAAAATCAAAAATCGTACCAAAACGTCTCCGGGGCTCGATCCGGATCGAGTTTCTTCATACTTCCACGACACAGTTGTTGTAGAAGATCCTCAACCGTATATTGGGCATACGGTTGAGGCTGTATCGGGGCTGGGGCTGGTGCTGCTGGTGGTGGAGGCGGTGGGACAACCATTGGTTGCGAAACCATAGGTTGTGTTCCCGAGGACTCCAGGATAGCGGACTCTGTAGCTGAGTTGGACGGGGTGCTACTGTCCGGATCAACAATGTTCCGGTAGTGGAATCTCTTGCTGCGGGGAGCCATCTGAATAATCTACAAATAAAAATTAATTATATATATATAACGCATTTATTTTATTTCTAAATTCCAAATCTAACTAAGTCTCCTAATTATTTCTATTTCACCCATCTCACAAACTCCATAGTTAGTTGTCGCCCACTTTGAACCGTGATTGTATGTATGAAAAACAAAGCTCCGAGTGAAATTC